TCAACAGGCTCTCTGGCTGAAGCCGCCCCAAGGAGTCATGTTGATTTTTTATTTTTATGTATTTTTTTTAAAATGGGACACAGGTGTATAATGGAGACGCCCATCAGCTAATAATACGATAGCAGGTAAAGGCACAATTGGAGGTGGTGGGGGAAGGACAAGGGGCCTCCGTGGGTCCCAAAGTGTGGAGGCTGATGGAGGCAGGATGTCCACACACTGACATCCTGTTCCTTCCCCCCCCCCCCAGGAATAAAAGGGAGCTGTTGGCATCTTGGGATTGCACGCCTGCCTCCCGACGACATGGACCTGACCCCAATGAGTGTCCAGGTGGAGAGGTTGCTCCGTGGGGGGCCTCCCCACACGCAGGTTGGGGGGCCCTCCACTAGGGATGGCTGTGGATGGCCTCCCTCTGCAAGGATGATCCCTGGGAAGGCCTTCCAGCTTTGCAGTTTTTTGTAACCCGACTTGGCCCCTGGGGGGGGGGTCACAGTGGAGAGAAGGTGGCAGAGTTGACTGACCGGTGGCTGAGAGCTCAGGAGACCAGGGTTCAAATCCCAGTCTCCAGCCTGAAAGGACAGCAGTGACATCTCTCCGCTTGATCCGCCATACAGGAAACTTTCCAAAATAGCCTGGGATAGAAGGGGTGCCCCTCCTGCAAAAAAAAAAACAAAAACAAAAAACCCAGGCCACCTGGAAAGATCGAAAGTGCCTCTTCTTCTCCCCGAGTGACCGTGGTTCCGTCCTACGACATCCTCAGTTGGTCATCTGGGAAGGCCCAAGGGCCCTCTGCCTGAAACCGCCGCCTGGGGCTGGTCCTTCTCATGGATTCAGGAGGTCTACTCTAGATGGGCTTGGCCCAACGGAGACAAGCTTTGGTGAGGTCTTGGGCTCCTGCGTCTGGAATCCACTCAGAATTAAGGATCTCTTCCGCCCCGGTCAAGGTCTTCCCAGGTTGCAAAGGGTTGCAAAGGGAGGCAGGAGGCAGAGGGCCCGGGAAGGCCTGGGGCTCCCTCGTACAGGCAGCTCTCCCTCTGGCCAAGCTTTTCTCCTAAACAGGGCTCCCAGCCAAGTACTCCCGGCCCCTCCAAACTGGCCCCCTCCGCCCTGCCCATCAAGTGCTTTTCTGAGCCACCCATTCTCTCCTCTTAGTCTGTTTGCACGCATTCATTTGGTTTCCCATTCACTGGCAAAAAGATTTCCAGGTTTTTTTTGTCCCTTTT